TGTGCGAGCCTCGGTGTCAGCGGTCACCCCTCCTGCGGGTCCCCCCTCGACCCCTTACTGGAGCACTCTGCCCCGCGGCCGCGGCGGCAGGAGGAGGAGGAGGAGGGATCGCGGGCGGCGCGGGTTGGTCTGGCCACCTCGCCCCGTGCCCCGCCCCTGCGCGCACTCCCTCGCGGGCGAGCTACTTTCGGACAAGGAAAGTGAGGGCGGCCCCGGGTGACAGCGCGGCGGCGCCAGTCCCGGGAAGCCGCGTCTGTTCGCGTGTCGCCCGTCGCGCTGCCAGCGGCACACTGCCCAGACCCCGCCATGGCTTCGACCACCACCTGCACCCGGTTCACCGACGAGTATCAGCTCTTCGAGGAGCTCGGAAAGTAAGCGTCCTTGCCTGGCATCTCCTCCCGCGACCCCCGTGTTCCCCGTGGGGGGAGAGGGAGCCCGCAGGCCGAAGCGGGGTGACGGACCCCTGACTTGGTGCGGGTGGGGCACAGAGGGGAGGAGATCCCTGCCCCACTGTGGTGGGTGCCCCGAATCCCCAGCCCACCTCCTCGGGTCCTCTACCTCTCCACCGGAGACTTAGTGAATTTACGATCTCTGCAGTTGTAGCTGTCATCCTGGGAAGTGTGCGCTCACGCGAGTGTGTGTGTGTGTGTGTGTGTGTGTGTGTGTGTGTGTGTGTGTGTGCGTGTGCGCGCGTATCTTCGGAGAGGAAAGGAGATGCATGCAAAAAACGCAACATTTATCACATTTTCGGTAAATAGATGTCTCCTGCTCAGCCCGCGGTCGGTGTCTGCCGTCTGACCCAGGTTCGGATGAGCTGATGAGCACTGACTCTCAGAGATGGTGCCATATTTATCGATGCCGAAAGTTCAACTTGGCTTGGTGGAGAGTCTGGTTCGGCATCCAAATAGTTGTTCTGTCCAGGAAAAGGGCCACCCTACAGAACCCACGCCCCTGCCCCATATCCGCTATTCTTTGCACTAAAGGATTCGCTCACCATCGTTCTTATAGGATTAAGTATGCGCACATCTTTTCGGCGATTTATTTATTGAGGCAGAGGAAAAACCCCATCTCTAGAGCTCAGGAAAGCGCTTCCCAAGGTAGCCTAGCCTTGTGGTTGCGTAAAACGACCTCCTCCACTTAAGTGCCAGAACTTCTTGTTAAGGAGTGACAGGGTACCTACAGACGATCTGTACAGAGATCCAGCCAGGAATGCTGATTTACCAAGCATCCAACCTCAAACCAGTTCTTCTATCGCTAATTTCGACAATTAGGGACAAGATGCATTTCTGTGTGTGCCATGGGTTCCTACAGTTGCACAAAAGGAAGTGTAAGCATTTTTAATGGAATGAAAATGATATCTTTATAGATGATCTGCTGTTGAAACATGGAGACATGTCGGAAGAGCAGCTTAATTCAAATCTCTCCCCTCCCCCAGCCCAACCAGGCAGAGAAATCACCTTACCCCAGGATCTGGTAAAGCACCAGTGAGCCCCAGATTTATGTTTTAATGAAAACAATCGCCATATTTACTTACTTGGAGCCACGTTAATTATTTTTCCTACCGAAATAAACAGGCAGCAGATTTTTTTTTTTTCCTTCCCTGTTTCCAGCTCTGCTCTTTGCAGGGCTTGCTCTGAGCATTTGGTGTTTTGTGAGTGTGAAAATGAAATGTTTTCGAATTTCATGTGCAAACAAGAGTGGTCATAATTGGCATTTCGTTTGATTTTGTTGATTAATCATGTGTGTTTTCAGTCAATTAAAAATTACTTTTTATTCCTCAACATTTAGAAATAATTGTTCATTTTCTAGATAATGCTTTTATTATTCTGATATTTCACAGACTGCTCAAGACTCATAAATATGCTCAGGTTTGTAAGTTTCTAAGTGGATACTCGATATGATTCTACTGCTGACTTGCTAATTGTTGGTTTCTAGGGGGGCATTCTCAGTGGTGAGAAGATGTATGAAGATCCCGACGGGACAGGAGTATGCTGCCAAAATTATCAACACCAAAAAGCTTTCTGCTAGGGGTGGGTATTTTAAACCACATTTATTTACGCATGTTAATTTTGTATTTGTTGTGTGGATCGGTGTTGTAAGTCAATATAACATGTAGTTATAACTGAATTTTAAGCTTAGGTATCATATTCCATACTGATATTTTTTCTTTGCCAAATGTCTCTGGGTCTGTGCACTTTGAAAGTAAAAGAAAAAACATATAATTGTTCTTAGCGACTGATTGAAACGCTGTCTTATGAGCAGTAACATAAATAAATATTTTGCAAAGCAAGTAAATGCCATGAAGTGCATTTTGCTTTTAGTTCTAGTGTGAAATAGCTTTCAGAAGGATCTTAGAATGGAAAAAATGTAAGTCTCATAACTGACATAATTCCCTTTCACTTCTGAGATGGAAAACAGGTCATGGTTCAGTTGAATGTATATTGCAGTTGTAGTTACAGCTGAACCTAATACATTGAGGTATATTTAACTTCAGTGGCTTTGGGAAGATAAAAAAAGACCATTGCTGTAATCTAGGAAGTTAGCTTAATTTTGATGTGCGTAGGTTAGGCCTTTAATGTGGCCTTCTGAATTAAATTTCCCACCAGAACATGTGATGTATTTTACACCTGCAATTTATAGCCATGGAGATAATTCATACTTAAAGCTGTTGACATAAGTTTTTTTTAAAAAATTATTTTGTTTGAAATCGTGCTAACACATGCATGCTGAAATGCTGGGCATAGCAGTGTCTGCAGGCATGTGCCTAAGGTATTTCCATGAGGATTTATGGTTTGATGGAATTAAAGTGAAATCAAAGTGAACAGAATACCATTCTGCATCCCATCTCAGTGACCTGGTTTATTTTAAGTAATGAGAGGAAATTCCATTAGAGCGAGTTTTCCTCACTGAATATATCTTTTAAGACCTGCCACTTAAGGATGTCTGGATATCATTGCTCTTGTCCTGTGCTGAGGTAAATGAACTTACAAATTCTACTTTTAAGATGCACTGTAGGGTTCAGTGTATCTATTATCTTCTTCTGATTTGCTATAGTTCTGAGAAAGGTATATGCTAAACTACCTGCGAGCACTATGGAATCCTGGTATGCAAACAGATGAGGAGCAAGCTATGCTAATTACATTTCCCCTTCCAGTCTCCACTCCATTGGAAGGTTTGAAAAGAATGACAAGGGGTACAGAAGTGTAAATGGCAGCTTAAGGGAAAGAAGAAGACTGAAACCAGCCAGACTTTTCCTGGTGATTGTGTTATTATCTCTGATGTGATAGGTACTTTGCCAGTGGTGGACTATCACGTTTGGGAGGTGTTACCATGCCTATTCCAAGTCTTTTAATGACTTTAAGTTTCACCTCAGGACCAAAAAGGATGAGTAGTCACTTTTACTAACTTTATTAATTAGAGTCAACACTTTTTATCCTGAAGTATCCCATACTCCCTATATCAGACTGGCTGTCTTGTTCACTCTCTTCTCCTCTATGGGAGAGGAGTGCCCCGGACTGATTGGCTCCTCCTCTTTCCTCTCTGTGCCATTCTACCTGTAGAATGCCATTCCTTCCCTCATCTGCTCAAGCTGAGCTTGTTCGCATCTCCTTCCTGACCCAGGAGACATTTTTCCTATCTTCCTTTGCTACTCTTTAGTTATTTTTTATTCTTTTTTAGTTGTGTGTGTGTGTGTATGCACACATGCGTGAGTGTAGGTGCCCTGGAGACCAGAGACGTCTGATTCCCATAGCTGAGAACCCTCAAGCATGAATAGTAGGAACTAAGCTCCTACTCCCTGTTGGAACAGGACGATCCTTTATCTGCCGAGCCTTCTCCAGCCTCTGCCTCTGCATTTTCTTCCCCTCCCAAGAACATCATCTGTCCAGGAATGACGTGCTCTGGGCCTCAGTCCTGATTCCTGTAGCTGTTAGCCGTGTGATCTTAGGAAGTTTATCCATTTTAATCTGAGCCTCAGTGTTTTCATCTGCAAAATGGGGTGAGATAGAGCCCTTTCTTACAGGGTTTTGATTGATCTGATTGCCTTAATGTATAGTGCAGAGTGGTGCCTATTATAGCGTATGCGCTTAGGGAGTATCAACCGCTGCTATTATATGATAGGAGTGTAGTAATGATTAAATTGCTTTACTTTTTTTTGAAAGATCTTATTTAAAGTGAAAGCACTTGAGAATTGTCGATCTCATGGCTGTTATGATGACTGTTCTGATACGGCCCACTTGAAATAGTGACTCAGTTGCCTAGCGTGTAAATTTGATCCAGATATGTACTTTTCTAAGATCTCAGATTCTTCATCAATAAAACGGTAAAACTTATACAATGAGTCCCATGGGGGTGTTTCAGGCAGTTAGTGAATTTTGTGAGAACTGTATCTTAAATTGGAAAGTGTCTTGCCGGTTTGACTTATTACACTCATATGTAAAGAATTTAGTCATTTCTTATAAAATACTCTGCTACTTTATTTTATACCCGCATATAATTGAAGGTGGTGACAACGTAGTTTTATTTTGCACTGTATATATTTGTTTGAATTGTTTTCATATTGAATTACAGATTATTTGAAGGAAAATGCCATGCTTTTACCTTTGACTTAACACTCAAGTGTGTGGCTTTGAAGACATTGAGGCGCTTCAGGACAAAGCAACTGGAATGAAGTGTGCTTCCATTATTTGTAAAGTCGTTAAGTACTTTGTTCATTTCTGAGAACAAGCACGTACTGAAATCTGTCAAGTATATCCAGCGACTGTGTTTTAAAAGACAAATTTTGGAAGCTGGAATGATAACTCAGCAGTTAAGAGCTCTCACAGTGACTGCTCTCACAGAGGATCCTGGGTTTGATTCCCAGCGTCCACATGGTGGCTAAGAACTGTCTATAATTCCAGTTCCAGGAGATCTGAGGCCCTCTTCTGATCTCTGTGAACAGTGCATACATGGTGCACAGACTTACATGCAGGAAAAACATCTACACACATAAAAATGAATATTAAAAATACACAGCCTAAATTTTCTTTTAAGAACACTCCTGTTACAATAATCTAGTATATATGGTTTTTTTTTGCAGGAAATTTTAACAGTGAGAAACATTCAAAGGCAAATATAGAATTCAGTGCAATATAGTATGTTTAATTTTTTCCAAGAAAATAATTTTTGGGGAACTCTATCAGACACTTTTGTGAAATGGACAATTTTTTGTGCAACTTTTTGTTTATATTATTTGATATAGCATGCCTTTGTAAACCTAATCCTTAAGGCTGTGCGTTTTAAAGACAAGGATCTTTCTACCACTCAACTATGTTTTTTTAATTCCTTTTGTGCTGGGAATTTAACCTGGGGCCTCACACATGCTAGGCAAACACACTACCCTTGAGCTGTGTTATCTGCTCTCAACTAATGCTCGCTAGCTGTAACAGACAGAAAGAGAAAGTGCCACTTGTCAATAAATCCAGGACTATGAGGGAAATTGCCAAACATTTGGCCGGGTTCCTGCACAAATGTGTACATCCCTCTCTGCTGTCACTCAGGCCTTGTGCTGTGCGGAGACCATCCTGGGTTTTCAGCAGACAGTTTTAGTTACATCTTCTCTCACCATTCGTCACACATGCCGCGTTTGGGAGACCCAGAGTCGGTTGAAGAATTTCTTTGTGTTTTCATCTGCCTATGTGCACAGGACATTGAGTGTGAGTGTTATTGAGGATGTAGGTCAGTGGGCTCAGAATACTCATTTGGTTGCTTGTTAAAAACTTCTTTGAGAAGCTCCTAAGCATAGTCCACATATGATACCCTCATATGTGGCTGCCAAATTCTGAAAAGTTGTTTTACATAGGGATATTTAGTAAGTAGTGAGTAGTGATGGTAGAATGTGTCTTAGTTTTTCATCATAGGAACAGGTTATGCTGACATTTTGATCCAAGTCATTAGGTTAGTATCTATCAAACGCTAACTTGTTGCAGTGTAGATATTTTGTCCATCATCTGGGCATGTTTAGGGCTGTGAGCTGTTACTAGGTGATGGGAAGACAGTGGTGTACGCCCCAGTCGGCTGATGGTGCCAACCCCAAGAGGCTTCAGGGACAGTCCATGTGGTAGATGGTGCATTTTAAAACTCTTCAGTCGTGGTGATGATTTCTTGATGTTCATTTCCTAGTACGTGCTTTTATCCTTAGAAAGCCCTCACTACAATATATATATAGCCAGGCACGTCATAGTTACTGCTTTTACAAAAGGAAAATTAATTATAAGCTTGAAGTAACAAATGAAATAGAAGTTTCTTTTACATTTACTCCATTACTAAAATTGGCAAGTTATGTTTCTATAATTTAGTAAATCAATTTTATTATCCTAATTCTGTTAGTTCCTAATTTCATAGTATTAGGTGGAACACAAATCAGGACCCTAGGAAGCTAGTTGACCATGTATGTGAATTCAGTGTTGTATCTATACCCCAATTAATATTTCTTTTTGTTTGTTTTAAGAAAGATGTCAAAAACTGAGGCTTGCTGCTTTTGTTTTTAACATCTAAACAGTTAAGAAATTATCTTAGTCTCAGTTTTATGCCTACTTTCTTGAATTGCAAGTAAGATTGAGATAGATAGATGTAAAATGAGGGGGCCGGCTTGTTGGTGTATCTGTTCCTGCCCGGTACCCCACAGCCGGCAAGTCCCAGAGAAAATCAATCACACAGAGATCTCTATAAGATTATAAACTGATTGGCCCATTAGGTCAGGCTACTTATTAGCTCTTATAACTTATGTTACCCCATTATCCTTATCTACATTAGCCACACGGCTCAGTACCTTTTCCAGTGGGGCAGCTTACATCTTTCCTCTATGGTGGTCTGGGCAGAACTGGCAGAGGAACCTCCCTGCTTCCCAGAATTCTCCTGTTCTCATTGCATCACCTCTACTTCCTGTCTGGTTTCCCGCCTATACTTCCTGCCTGGCCAATCAGCGTTTTATTAAAATACATGATTGACAGAATACAGATAATTCTCCCTCACCAGATAGATACATTGAATG